TCACAGCTCACAGCAACCTCAAACTCTTGGGCTTAAGCCATTCTCTTGCCTCACCCTCCCAAGTAGCTGGGACTACAGGCACCTGCCACAACACCCGGCTATTTTTTTGTTGTAGTTGTCATTGTTGTTTAGCAGACTCAGGCTGGGTTAGAACCCACCAGCCTCTGTCTATGTGGCCGGCACCCTAGCCACTGAGCTAGGGGCACTGAACCCTCAGCTATTTTTTTTTTAAAGATGGGGTCTCACTTTGCCTCAGGCTGGTCTCCAACCTGTGAGCTCAGGCAATCCACCCACCTCAGCCTCCCAGAGTGCTAGGTTTACAGGCATGAGCCACCGCACCCAGCTTTAATTTGAGAGATTTAAAACAATTATAACAGAAGTATCAAACATTATCAGAACAGGACTGGGAGCTTTTTTTTTTTTTGAGACGGTCTCAAGCTCACTTGGGTAGAGTGCTATGGCATCATAGCTCACAGCGACCTCCAACTCAGGCTCAAGTGATCCTCTTGCCTCAGATTTTCTATTTTGTTTAATTTTTAAACATTTTATTTTATTTATTTTTTTTTTTTTTGAGAAAGTCTCACTTTCTCGCCCTCGGTAGAGTGTTGTGGCAGCGTCACACTGCTCACAGCAATCTCTAGCTTTTGGGCTTAGGTGATTCTCTTGCCTCAGCCTCCCGAGTAGCTGGGACTATAGGCGCCCACCACAACGCCTGGCTACTTTTTTGTTGCGGTTTGGCAAGGGCTGGGTTTGAACCTACCACCCTTGGTATATGGGGCTGGTGCCCTACTCAGTGAGCCACAGGCACCACCCAGATTTTCTGTTTTTAATAGAGATAGTCTCGCTTTTGAGCAGACTGGTCTCAAACTTGTGAGCTCAAGCAGTCTACCCGCCTCAGCCTCCTAAAATGCTAGGATTATAGGCATTAGCCACCACACCAGCCTGGCCAGGACTGGGGGCTTTGTATTTTTCAAGATGATGGGGATTGTCCAGGCACAATAGCTCATGCCTATAATCCTAGCACTCTGGGAGGTGGAGGCTGGTAGATTGCCTGAGCTTACGGCTGCAGACCAGCCTGAGCAAGAGCAAGACCTCATCTTTAAAAATAGCCAGGGATTGGCTTGGCACCTGTGGCTCAGGCGGCTAAGGCGCCAGCCATGTATACCAAAGGTGGTGGGTTCGAATCCAGCCCAGGCCCACCAAACAACAATGATGGCTGCAACCAAAAAATAGCCAGGCATTGTGGCAGGCACCTGTAGTTCCAGCTACTTG